GGCTTATACTTTTAGGTCATAGTCTTTCATTGGCAGAAGTCAGGACAGGAACTCAAGCAGGACTGGAACCTGGAGACAGGAGCTGATACAGAGGCCATGGAGGGGTGCTGCTCACATGGCTTGCTCCCCACGGTTTGCTCAGCCCCCCTCCTTACAGAACCAGGACCATCAGCTCAGGGATGGCCCCACCCACAATGGGCTGGGCCTCCCCCATCAATCACTAATGAGAAAATGCCTCACAGCTGGATCTCATGGAGGCTTTTCCTCAACTGAGGCTCCTTGCTCTCTGATGGCTCTAGCTTGTGTCAAGTTGACACAAAACCAGCCAGGACACCAAGCCTGTATGTGAGAAAGGCCGTGACCTGCAGGCCAGAAGCTGCTGCTCTGCCCTCCAGCTGGGTAAGGGCCCATAAGTTCATGTCATCCCTGGTGACAGGAAAATCTTTCACCCAGAAACTGGATAGATTCATTTACATCCCTCCTGGGTCAGATTCTAAGCTGGCAGGTCCTTCCCCTGCACCCCTTCAGGCCACTCCAGGGCCTTCCTGCTTCTGGGACTCCTATAGCCTACCCTACCAAGCCCTGGGGACCTTCTTGGCAGGCTCTAGACAACATTTAACCTTCCCCGTTATATTAGAAACCAGGTAAGCCACTTGCAGGTCAAAGGAGCTGGGGAAAGGCTGGGTTGTGGCAAGCAGGTCCATACTCTTCAGCAGTCTGAGGTGGGAGGGTTAGGCCTGCCCAGGGACTACTTTAAGTAAATGGCCCTGCACAGCACTAGGTTGGAGACACTCCTACTGCTGCTGCTTTCTGTGTCTCGGGGGGTCCTGTCCCCTGACTGGAGTCTGTGGTAGATCCTGTGACAGCATGTCCAGCTTGGTGAAGCCCTTGGAGGAAATGTCTCAGTGGCACCCTTCACAGCTTGAGATCAGCACCTTGCTGGGTCCCTGGGACTATTTTTCCATAGGCAGAGAAATGCAGAGGCTGAAGACGCCTGTGAGCAAACATGGCTTGTGTGAGAGCCGTCTCTCTGGGGGGTCACAGCTGAAGACAGCTAAATACCCACTGCTGGAACCCTAATGCATGTGCAGCTTCAGCTGTTACTCAGCTGTGGCAAACGGAGTCACTTCCTAGTGAGATGCCTGGCTCGGTTAACCCCTTTGTCACTGCAAAGCTACCACTTAACCTTGGAGCTTCCTGTATCTCTCTCGGCCCCCCTGGGGTCCCTAGGATGCCCCCACCCTCATCTCCCCCTACCAGGTCAGGCTAACTGAACCACTGAACCAGCCATCTCACTAGGGAGTTGCTCAGTTTGCCACAACTGAGGAACAGCTGACAGCTGTCTCCCTGACAGGTGGGGTAGGGTTCCCAGCAGCACATTCAGCTGTGACCCCAACAGAGAGACGGCTCTCTCTTTCACAACCCATGTTTATTTCTGGAGGGGTCCTCTCTGGGGTTGACCTGGGACCTGTTCAGAGATGTTTATGGTCAGATCAGGGAAGGAGGGAAGTACTTAAAAGGAAGGTGATCACATGCTTGCACATTTTGGCTTCAGATCTGTGAGCGGTCAGTCTTATGACATGGAAGGAGGCTTTGATCCTCTGAGGACACGAATCCTGTCTTGGGGGCCGGCTACACACACAGCATCCTGTGAGCATGGCGCCCCCTGGAGCTCACCTCAGAAACATGCTACTCCAAGTCCTACTTTGTTTTTTTTTTCTACTCCAAACAGCCTGAGACCTGCAGTCTCAGTCAGGCCCTTCTAGATTGCTACTTGTTTCTTGTCTCTTAAAGCTGTCACACCGCATCAACTGTGATGGCCTGGAGGGACTTCCACCTTGGTTGGCAGGCTTTTCCAAGTCAGCTCAGCACTCTCCAAAGGTCTCCCGTTTCACATCCAAGGTGTTTAATTAAGCTCTTTCATTAAAATAGCAACTCCGATACAAATCTGTGGCTTCGAGCGCAACTGTAGGTGACATTAGGTTGTCCCTCCCTTTGTAGGAGCAGGAAGAGCCCTTCCTGAGGGAAGCAAGTCTGCCAGTCCATGTTTAGAGGGACAAGGGACAGCATGGCTGCCTTCAGAGCCTCTGAATCCCAGCACTGTGTAGTCAGGTGATGTGAGACCCCCCTGGCCTGCTAGTCCAGCCAGAAGACTCCCCAGCCCCGCCTGTCAGTTAGACCCTCCTCAGTCCCTGGGAGGCCCAGGTGCTCTGCAGGTGCCCAACAGCATGACGCAAGCGGGAGGACAATGTTGCTTTGGGGATGGAGGACTCCGGGCAGCTGGGGGATGAAAGGGGAAGCCAAGGCTGTGACAGGGGAGGCAAGGTTCCCAGCTGGGGAAGGCAGGCTGGGAACACCACCCCCCCACCCCCAGTACTTATGCTGGCCACAGCTTAGGAAGCAGGAAACGGCCACAGGGTGTGGAAAGCCACTCCCGAGGCTTGGGGTGCAGGGCAGTGGAAAGTCTCCAGAGCGCAGACTGTTTGGTGGGGGAAGAATGAAGGAGGCACAGTGAGGTGAACTGTGGCCTCCAGACTTTGAATTATGAGCAAGTGCCTGTGCCCAAGTTGGAACAGATCAAAGGATGGTGGCCAGCTACTCTGGGCTCTGCCTTCTAGAAAGATAGAGGTGGGTTGGAATACAATACAGGCCAGGCACAGGGACTAACCAACAGCCACGTGTGGTGTCTTAGGATGGACAGCAGGGGGTGCCAGATACCACTGAATAGTCTCAATCCTGGCAGGCCTTGCAACCTGTGGCCTTTGATGTCTCCTCTGGATGTCCCACTCCTGTGTGGAGTGGGAGGGGGGAGGGAAGCAGGGACTGTCTCCCAGACACTGGATACCATTCAGGCTTCAGAGCAATCACTGGGCAAGTTTCAAACTTGCCCACCCTATATGACATTGGCTTGTGAGGATACAGAGCCCTCCCTGGCCCCAGTGTTGAATTTTTAGAAGGAACCCTAGCTACTATTGAAGGATGAAAGGACTTTTGGGGATTCCCACCAAGTGTGGGTATACAAGATCCCTGGTAGGCATTTAATATTTTTAAAAAATGCAACGTGGGTCATGGAGACGAAACTCAGGCTATCAGGCTTAGCAGCAATTACTTCTACCTGCTGAGCCATTTTACGGTCCCTCTTGAAGTCAGAGTGGTCTGCAGGAGAACAGTGAGATAGAGAGAAAGGAATGGGTGAGGTGCGAAGGAAATGTGTTCTGTGAGGCAGTGGGCCTCCAGGTGGGGTGGGGAGGTCTGTCCAGACCAGTGAGATGAGGAGTCGGAAGGAAAGTCCTTAGAGAGAAAGTGTGCAGGGGTGGAGATGTGATGGGGAGGACCTGGGAGACTGACCGATCCCTATAAGCCAGCATAAGTAACAGAGAGCAGCTGGTGGCTGTATTATTTAAAGTGTTCTTAATGCAAGTGGCAAATTGAGGAAAAGGACACCCAGAAAGGGGAGAAAGCAGATGGAGACTGTAGTCTCCTCTCCTAGACCCATCATCCTGGCTTATTAACTTTAGACTTTCCTGTGTCTGGTCCTGTGTCAGGAAGCCAGCTCTAAAGGTACTTCATGTTGTTTTTTATGCCGTGTTTCTACTACATGTTTTCATGTTACTGTCAGGTATGAGCTTGTCAGGGGCAGACAGTAACTGCCACACCCCAGAGACCTGTGATGACCAGCTCAGGCTCAGGGTTCTGCTCCGTGGGGTCTGATTAGACCCTTCCCTTTGTGCCTGTGTTGTGCATCACTGCTGTGAGCGCAGGTGGCCCGTCCTGGCTCTTCTCATATATCTGGAGGTGGTCCGGCGACCCTGCCCCAGTGGTCCTGAAAACCAAACCCAGAGGCTCTCTGCTACATGGCTGCATGCCAGTACTTCTGGACCATGCTCCCTCTCTGGGTTTCCGGTTAGAATTAGGCTGTTATTTGTGAAAACATGAATTGTTTGGATGGGAACTTGAGGAGCAATAACAATGAAGCTGGGACCGCTAGGCCACACAACCTCAAAACAGGGTACCAGAATCCTTGAGAGCCCTGGGATGTTGAGAAACAATGGAGACCGTTATCTTGGACACAGGCCCTGTATCCAGCAGGGTGCTAGGACCCCAGCAGGGCAAAATGGAGATCACCAACCTGGGCATAGGACCCGCATCCAGCAGGCTGTTGAGACCCGAGGCTACACTTGCTCAGACAGGTGGGCACAGGTTCTAGCAAGAGATGATCACAGTGGCCTAAGCTAAAGGGCTCCTGTTGGCTACTGGTATCTACCCGCTGGCCTTCCCCATTAGAGGCTTGGAGGAAAGCTCTGGCATGGGGGAAGGGCCCAGCTTGGCCCACACTTACTGTCCATGGCTGCTCTACCGGTGTGGTGTCTTGGGTGAGAAAGTGTCTGCAGGCTTACCGAAGAGGCCATGGGAGCCACAGGGACCTGTAGCTGTCTCAGAAGCCTCGCATCAGGCTTAGAAGGAAGGGTACTTCACGCACCTCTGCTGAACTCAGCTTTGAAAATTGGTGGCAGGTTTGGTCTGTGATCCGGCTTCCCAGCTGCACCCACAGCTCCTCCCACCACTGGAGGGACAGGGACCTACAGTCCTCTGCCAGAGGATGAAATATTCAGTTTGATGGCTCAGGAGGGTGACACTTCCTTCCTTGTCCCCAGCCCTTCTATAAAGAGAAGACTCAGCATTGGCAGAGGCTCCACACGCTTCAGGCTGGGCTAAAGAGACCAGCAACAAGGTACCCTCTGGGAGGGCTTGGACTGCTCTCTCTACAGACAGGGTGAACCTGTGTGTGTGTGTGATGGGGGTAGGAGTGGAGGATTGATCTCTTAGGCAAAGCTGATAAGATCCTACAGCAGAATAATGGCTTAGAAACCAGAAGCATCTGTGAAAATGCTACTGCCTCTAGGGGTGGCCCACTTCAGGGTGGCCGGACGGACATCATCATCCTTGGCTTCCTCCTGCTGCAGGTGGCCCTGAGAATACTGACCTGCACCTTGGTGAGGATGCAAACCCGGGTGTTGTCGTGGCTGGCCCTCGGCATCCTCCTGGGCATTCCTGCAGGTGAGGGCCACCTGGGATTAGATGTAGCCATGACTCCCTTGCCTTTCCAGGCGTCTCCTTCTAACTGTCCCTGTCCTGGTCTGCAGTGGTTACTGGAGGGTTGCCCTAGATGACGGCTCTTCTTTCCTCTTGCAGGAGCCAAGCCAATGCCAGAGGAAGCAGGTACACTTTTTGATGTCTTTCCTTTCACTGCCCTAAGGCACTGCTGCATGCAGGCGGGTGAGGGAGCAGAGGTTGCTTATCTCTGGCAGAGCATCTCTGGAGAAGCATAGAACATGCTCTCCTGTCGGCATGGCAGTGCAGGTCCTGTTGTCAGCAGGGAGCTGTGCATGCAGAGGGATCCAGGACAGCATCAACTTAGCCTTGTCTTCCACCATGTGGAAGCACCCAAGCAGAAGGGAGATGGATGGTCCCCAGGGTCCCACCCTCAGCCTGGGCTCAGACCCTGGGCCCTCTTAGGAGTCCCAACTCAGTCCAGTGCCACCAAGGTGGCCTGTCTTGTGCTCTAGACAGGTGCTGTGTTCTTTGAAGCCTCATCAGCATGCTGCCTGAGCCCCTGCACCCACTACCCAGCTGCCTCTCTGCCCAGCATCTCCCCAGACAAGGATAAGGCCCCATTTTGATCTTCTTTCTTCCCTTTCTCCTATTTCCTCCAGACCAGATACCCTAATGGTCAAGAGGGATACTCAGAATGACCCAGACTCCACCCCTGGCTGGGAAGGTTGTCATTGCTGTAGCAGGCACTGGGGACATCACCCCCCGGCCCTGGCTGTATAGGCTATGCTCTTCTGGCAGGGACAACGGGACAGGCCCCGAGGGTGTTACTTGTGTCTTTCAGATCCCTACACACAGCCACCAGCCATGCCCTACTGGCCTTTCTCCACCTCTGACTTCTGGAACTATGTGCAGTATTTCCAGAGCCAGGGCGCCTACCCACAGATTGAGGACATGGCCAGAACGTTCTTTGCACACTTCCCCCTGGGAAGCACCCTGGGCTTCCATGCCCCCTACCAGGAGGACTGAGCAGCGCGCAGTCTGCTGCCCGCCTGGCTGCACTGGCCTGGGCCTAAGGAGGTCCAGAGACACAGTGGTGGGCAAGGGGATGGGCTCGTGCTCAATAAACTCCCTCTGAAGATGCACAACACCCCTGTGAGTTTCTTTCAAGGAGCCGGTATGTGCTGTATCACTCTGTGGATTAGCTGGGCTTTATTTGATGAACACCGAGCATACCTTGAATAAACACATGCATGATCTCTACCTGTAGGGGTGTCAACCAGGCCTTGTCTGTTCTCATAATGGCCTGGGGGTGGGCCAGGGTGGCCCCAGATTGCAGGTAAAGGAGCTGAAACAAAGACAGCAGTACAGCTTGACTTGTTAAGGCCATGTGCCTAGTGAAGCAAGCCAGACATATCCCGGTGGCCCCTCCCCCTGGCTTCCAGATGAACCACTGTCACACTGGGGCCAGGGCCCCACACTCAGCACACAGTGTGTTCCTGGGAGCAGAAGAATCACGAAGTCAGATCCCTGTCTGCGAGGGAGAGCCACAGCCCACGCTTAGTATTTGAGGGTAAGGTTCCAGGCTGAGTCTGCTGGGAGAAGGGGATGGCTACCCTGGGCAGTCCTCTGGTTGTGGAAGGATGTGAAGAGAGCGTGGTGTAGTACAGGCACAGACTGAGACCGGTGGTAAGCCCCCACACACCAGATGGGAGAGACACTGAACAGGAGACATCTCTTGGCAGCCAGCCTGTCTCGGCTTCCTTAGTTTGGCCTTCACTTGGGTATCTCAGGATGACACTGATCTGGCATTTGAGAAGTAAGTCATAGCTTGCTTCTCTCAGATCCTGCACAGTTCACTCAAGCTTGGAGGGGGAGGGGATCGACTGCCCAGGCCACAATTTCCATTATATCTTGGCTAAGTCAGCTTCCTGGAGCTGTTCTTTCTCTTGACCTCCATTCTCTCTAGCAGCCCAGACCCCAAACCCTTGACTTCTCAAAGTTGTTAAAACAAAACACCCAAACAAAACCAACCAACCAACCAACCACTCCCTGAACACCATGAAAGCAGAGTAGGGAACCATCCAAAATCACCCTGACAGGTACAGGAACTTGTACTTCAGGGGAGAGACTTGGCTCACCCCACCATCAAACAGGGGCTGAGAGTCAAGGAGTAGGGTGGCTGGGAAATGACCCAGGGGTAACACAGGTTTTGCTGAAGGCAGGATCATATGACACAGACTGGGGATAGTGATGGGTGAAAAGCCCTGTCAGATATAGAGAGCAGGCAGGTATCAGTGGATTTCAGGCTTCTTGCTAGTGTTTTCGAAGGACTACTTGTCAAATGTGGATTTTACAGGATGGTACACAGAGAACATCCAGGGGCCTCAATAGTATAGTGTAGATAGTCAGTGTCTCAGGCCCTCTCCCCCAATGCGCCCCCTTCTCCATCCCTTCCTCATCTTTCATTCACTCTTTTAAAACCATGGTATGTTATAGCACCCTAAAGTGAACCGCCCTAGCCATCTCTCAGTAGACAGCTCAGTGATATAATGGACACACTCCACAACCCAACACTTCACTTTACAGACAGGTCTGAAACTGTGTTCCCTGAACAACTGTCGCCCCCAAGCCTGCCTCCACCATTTCACCGAAGCATTTCTAGGAGTTTGGCTGCTCTAGGGATCTCATATGAGTGGAGTTACAGTGTTTGTTTTTATTTCGTGGGCTTGCCCATGCCCGTAGGTTAGGGATCCCTACTTAGTTAAGACTCCAAATATCCCACCGTGTGGATGAAGTCCGTCTTGTTTGCGTTCACCCAGCCGTGGGTACTGGACTGCTTCCTGCTCTTGGCTATGGTGATCCTGCTCTTGGCTATGGTGATCCTGCGCGCGGCCACTGCGCGCACGCACTACTTTTGGATTTCTGCTACCCCTCGCGGCGCCTGAAGGGGCCCATCCCCCCACCTTCGAGCCAACACTTTACCGCCTGCGGTTTCTGCACAGTAGCCCTTCTGATGGTTTTGAACTGCGTCCCTGCTGGGAAATGGACAGTCTCCTTTCTCCGCCAACCACTCGTGCTCCTGGGGGGTTGGTGTCCCTTAATCTGCTATCCTAGGCTGCTGAGAGAGAGACAGCTCAGGTACCCAGCAGCCAGGCTGGCGGGGGGCCACCGACGCGCGGTCCTCCGGCGTCTAGACCTGCCCGGAGGAACACCGGAAGTAGACCGGACTGGTCGGAAGTGAGCGCAAAGCCACAGTTTCGAGATGAAGCCGGCGGTGGATGAGATGTTTCCCGAGGGCGCGGGGCCCTACGTGGACCTGGATGAGGTGGGGCGGCGGTGGCGTGGATCGAGACGCGTGGGTGGGAGCACAGCCCCCAAACAAGCGCGGAGTCCAAGCCCTCGGGGGATTCACAAGTTAGCAGAGGCTGGGGAAGCGGGAGCTAGCGTTGACAGTGGCAGGGCTGGAGATTGTGTTACGAGAATTGCTGCGAGGAAGTAGGGTTTCCTCGCAGACAGTTATCTGATTGGGGATCCTGATAAATCTTCCGGTGCTCGGGAGTGTCAGCCACCTCTTGTAGGTCAGAGCTTCCCCTTCTCAAAGCTCAGCGAGTAAGGAGATGCTCGAATGCAGCCCTGTCCCAGCAGAGGGCAGGTGTGGCCAGAAGAGGCCGATTGCAAACCCTAAGCAAGGGTGGGTAAGGTGCCCTCCAGAAATATTCATGGGGTTTTTGTTGAGGCTCCAAAGAGGAGCTTCCTCTGAGCCAAATGGTGAGAGATGTGATCTGTTGTCGTCGGGATATAAATGAAGAGAGCCGTGGGAACAGAGCTCTGCAAGAGTGATGCTCCCTGGCCCCGTATAGAAAGGGAATGGCGTGTAGTTTGTCTTAGTTAGGGTTTCTATTGCTTCAATGAAACACCATCACCAAAAAACAGGTTGGGGAGGAAAGGGTTTACTTGCCTTACACTTTCAGATCACCATTGGAGGAAGTCAAGTAGGACTGGAACATGCGGGCTGATGCAGAGGCCATGGAGGGGTGCTGCTTACTGGCTGCCTCCCCAGGGCCTGCTGCTTTCTTTTAGAACCTCCAACTACCAGCCCAGGGTTGGCACCACCCACCGTGGGTTGTGCCCTCCCCTTGATCACTAACTGAGAAAATGCCTTACAGCTGGATCTCACGGAGGCATTTCCTCAGCTGAGGCTCCTTCCTTTTTGATGACCCTAGCTTGTGTCAAGTTGACACACAAAAGCAGCCAGTATTTAGTTGAACACGAGGGGCAGGATCAGGTAGGGCCACATTATGAAGCCTGCAGAATGAATGTGTGGGCTCTGTGAGCCACTGCTGAGGCGATTGTCTGCAACCTCAACACCTTAGTACCGTAGCAGGTGGTGTGAGGGCATCACAGTAAGCAGAGACAGGCTGACTTCCTGTGGGCGTTGGTCCTGTGAAGGGTTTGGAGCTCCGGTTTGTAGGGAGACAGTAGAGAAATAGAGACAGGAAGAGTGAAGACTTGAAGAGGTTCTGAGTGAGGCAGGGAAGGTGGGAGGAGCTGGGCTAGGATTTCAGAGCAGCATCTGGATGGCTTACTGTGGTGATGGGGCTGGGGAGGCAGGCAGAGTCCAGAGAGCATTTTCAAAAGGGAATATAGGTGGTTCTCAGCTATTTGACAACCAGAGGAAGGTTGAACCAACAGCCTGGGATTAAGTGGGGCCGGGGCAGAAAGGAGCCTGGACCAGCTGTCCATTGTGCTACCACCACAGGTCTCTGCTTTCTCCATCCCAGATGATTAAACTTCCAAGGTGATTAAAGTTCCAAGAGCATCATACCTCACGGATTGGGTGTGGCCTGGTTTTACCACCACCACACAGTGGTTGCCCTGGAGGATCCTCCCAAGAGCAGCATCCCAGACCTTGGTGCTGGGATGGTCAGCTTCCCAGGGGGAATGCTGCATTCTCAGAAAGGGGAGGGAGTAGAGCAGAAATCAAGCTGTGTCCTCTGGCATTGTCCAGGAGGGGATTGAAGACTCCAGCAAAAGAGTGCCACAGGCAATGCCAAGGAAAACTCAATCAACATGGGACCTTGAGAGACCTTTAAAATAATTTTCTTGACTTCCCCATTCACACTACTTTCTTTGTCTGGAAAATTCTGGCTCCAACTTGAGCATTCATCCTGTCACTCAGTGTTCTGTTCCAGGGAGGTGGGATGGGTATGGTAATGAATCTACCACCTGCTTCTGGAAAACAAACACACGGATTGACCTTACCTTTGATTCTCCAGGCTGGAGGCAGCACTGGGCTCTTGATGGACTTGGCAGCCAATGAAAAGGCAGTTCATGCAGACTTTTTTAATGGTGAGTATGGCAGGATTGGGTGCCAGGCTTAATCTGAGTTTCCTCTGCAGTGGGCTGCTTTGTGCCGGGGGTAATTTGGATCATGGAACATTGTAGCTCAGACCTTTGTGCCCATCTCAGTGCCATACCGTATGGAGTGATCACCCTGGCAGTTAGCTCTGGCTGTCAGCCCTGTCTGAGGGGAAAAACAGGAAATAAATCTCTGCCTAGTCCACTACCCAGGGTTGAATTTGAGCGCTGGCATGGATAGCATGTGCAGTGGACACATTGATTATGGTCTATCGCAGACCTAGGCATAGAGAGCTGTTTGGCTCTGTGTTCTCTTTACTCTCTCCTGATGGCAGGCTAGTTCCCTGTCACACCTGTTTGCCCACCTGCACTCTCCTGGCCTCTGCTGCCTTTGCAGAGCCACAGCTGTGCTCTGCTTTGGCTCACACTGAATGATGTCAGGACTTGTGTCTCCTAGCTAAGAGTGTTCTTGGCTAGACTGTTTACCAAATAGAAGCTGACGGCACAATCTCCAGGCATGTGACAGGGCATGTTGGGTGCCTCTTGTTCTTTTCATTTCTGAAGGCCCTGCTCCTACTCTTTAACCCTTACATTGGGTTCAAATGATAAGTGGAGATTCAGGATAAGCCCCCTCAGACGGTAGTAGTATTTTTCTCCCCTTTCACCCACCTAGACTGTGGTGCATGACTCTCCAGTGACTAATCATGCCATGTTGATTTCTAACTTACTAGGGGCCCCTGAAGTTCCGGGCCCAGATGGGTGTTGGGGCTCATTGGCATGTGGCTGATGCATGTGTGGGGAAGCCATCTGTTAGATGGGTGCATTCCTGCCTGGGGACCCTGCTTCTCCCCAGCTGGTGTCAGAACTGAGGTGGGGGTGTAACACTGTAGCCTTTGAAGTCATTTCTCCAAATTCTGTTCCGGGGGGTAGAAGGTGCAGGGCCGCTGAGCGCTTCCCAGTGCAGCCTGTGGCACCTTGGGAGGCACCTGGCTGTGCAGGGTGCTACCCGGAGGGCTCATTCTGTTGAAGTAGGGCTCCTTCAGTCCTTCCCCTTCATCTGTGTCAGCTCACAGTACTGTGAGACCGACGTGTGCTGTGTTCATTCACGGCAGGCTGTTCCATAGGCAGCTCTGGCCTGGCCTGCACTGTGGCATGGCGGCACACACCTCTCTCCACTGAGCCATGTTGGACAGGGACGGACGTGCAGGCTCCCCGTCTCCACTCCCGCCTGCTCACTGCCCGAGTTCAGGAGAGTGCATGCCGTCTACAGTCAATGCCAAACCCAGTGCTTAGAAGCCATTCGTTGTGAGAGGCCCACGACTTGCCTAGGCTTCCACCAAGGCCTTTCGGCTCCTCAAAGAGATGGAGTCTGGAGCTCTTGTCTGAGGTGTTGGGTCGGACTCTCTCTTCCCTTGCTGTGGTCTGTAGTAGCAGAAGATCTAGACGAGGCTGCAGACAGCAGGCAAGGGCCCTGACAGGCTGGGCAGTGTGACATCTAGAGCACTGTCACAGGGAGGCTTCCCTGGGTGAGGGGATGGCGTCAGGAGAGCCATTGCCCTAGATTTCACGCGGGGGTCAGGAGGCAGCTACAGTGGAACAGCCCTTCTGCACTGTGGACGACACCTTTCCCTAAAAAGGTCTGGAGGGAGGGAGGTGTCTTTCCACTCAACTTTGACCACAGAGGAGATGGACCCTGCACATATGGATGGGCGTGGCTCCTTGCCTGTCCTGAAAGTGTGGGAACTCGGAAGGTGTGTGAGCAGAAGAATGGGTGGGCTGTTCGAATGCTGACTGAAAAACAGTGGCTGTAACAGGCTGTAGCTGTGTCTGGACCCTGACTTGCCCAGGCTTTCTAAGGGAGTCATCTCGGGTTCAGTCCTGTTGCTTTTCTCTTCACACTTCCACTCTCCTGGCACAGGAATGGCCAGGCGTCCTCATGCTCAGTGTGGCCGCTGAGTTGCCAAATGGCTGTCCATGTGCCCACAGCACCCCATGTGAATTATAAAAAAATGCCTTCTAGGGTAAAATGTGATTAAGAATACACTGTGAACAATCCAGCTGGATAAAGTTGAATCTGTCTCGGGGAGTCCTTCACCAGGCTGCACTGTTTACCACTATTTCCGCCTTGTGGGCTATCATCAAATTCATTTGAAGTAGTTTCCTCGCTTGCTTTTCCTGTCCCACTAATGTGTTAATTTTTACTTGCTTTCCTAGATTTCGAAGATCTCTTTGACGACGATGATGTCCAGTGAGGCCGTCCACTCACATGTGCCCCACATTGCGACACTCCTCGAATGTCTCGAGACAGGGTCAGTTGACAGTAGGGACCTTGCGAAGATCACTAGAAATCAGGACTTGGCCAGCCAAGGGAGGGGCATTGTGACGCAGCTGGACGCTGATGTCTCTGAGGATGCCAGCCCCTTGTCCTTGTTTAATTAAAAAAGAGCACTAGAGCATGCCGGGTAATTGTCATTCCTGTGGGTTTTAGATGAATGTTGCAGTCCCCTCTCCCCGGTGTGTGTGAACACAGGCATCGCCCACAGACCCATGCTGCTTTCAGTGTGCAGTGACTTGGGAGGTTCTGTCCGGGTCAGCCTTGGGCTATGCAGGCCTGTGCAGATGTTTGCCAGAGCACTTTAAAGACCCGACTGAAGGTACCTGTGCCCTGTGGATGGATAAACAGTGCACACTACACTGGGTGAGCATTTTTCTCCAGCCTCCTTATCAGAGCTGCTGCTGTTGGAAGACCCCAGGTGGAAAGAATTAGGGTAGTGGCTTTGAAGGAGGTGCCTTCTCCAAGGGAAATGCATGGGCTGCTTTTTCCCAAAGGAGGGTTCAGAGTCTGTAGGGGACAGACCTACTAGCCAAAATCATAAATGGCTGAGACAGTTAAGATTTTTGATCCCTCTCACAGCGAAGGCTGTTCTGTTTCCTTACTGTTAGGCTAGGATGCCAGTATCTGAGGTGTCGTCTGGCTTTGGGATCCCCAGTCAGGTGGGAAAGACCTGAGGTGAAGGAAAGTCAGCTGTGCAGCAACTCCTCCCTGTGAAAGAGCCTTGTAAGGACACCGTGTGGCCCAGAGGCCGGAGCTGGGAACCCCATTGCTGTATCAGGAGGACGAGCTGCACACCTGTGTGCTCTGGCGTCCATCTGTCCCTTCACAGAACCCTTGCAGCTCCTCAGGACCAGGGAGGAGAGGGAGCTCCCTCACCTCTGACCTGTCAGAGTCAACTCCAGGTGAAAGTAACTTTAGCTTATGTCCTGCCTGCTGGCTTCTTCTCTTTCCAGTAACACACTATCAAGGAGGTTATGCCTCAGTGGGGGACACTTGGGGATATTTCTGATTATCCTGCCTTCTGTTGAGTCACAGCTAAACAACAGTGGCCATCTGAAGGGAGGGTGCTAGGGAAATCCTGTGGCCTTTGAAACAGAAGTGGAGAGGAACACTTGTTTGATGGCTCAGTCTGCTTGTAAGGGCTTTGGAGGAGGTGCTTCCTTCCTGATTTCATGTTTCTTCCTGGGTTGAGTGAAAGCACCTGTCTCCCTGTGGTCTTCGAATCAGGATTTCCGCCAGCCATGTGAGTGGAAAGACCAACACGTTAACAAGATACAGAAAGTACCAGGTGGGGAAGACAAGCCTCAGTTTGGTTTTGGGTTTTGTTTTTTTGTTGTTTTGTTGGCTAGCTTTTGTTTGTTCTGTTTTTGAGGCAGGGTTTCTCTGTGTGCCTAGCTGTCCTGGAACTTGCTGTGTAGACAAGGCTGGCCTCAAATTCAGAGATCCTCCTCCTGAGCAGTGGGCCTAAAGGTGTGTGCCACCATATCCAGCAAGCATCCGCATCTGTGGCAAACCAAGCTGAGCTGCTCTACCAACATAAGCCATACTTTTAGAAAAAGGGTCTCTACGGTTATAGAAATTTGGCTTCTGTGATTACTGCTGGGAGCCAAGAGAAGGTGCTGAAAAAACCTCAGAAAAGCCCTTTGTCCTCCAGCGGCTAATGCTGGGCATTCAGGAGCTGTGCTGTCCTTTATCCGCCATGATGCACAGGTGCCAGGCCTCAGCCAAGGTCAGCTGAGCTTCATGCTTTAGCCACACTCCTCTCCAGGGAGCAGGATCAGGTCCCATGAGGCATGGGCCCTGTGTCAGGTGCATCCAGCCCTGGGCCACCTGTTGTAGGTTTTTTGGGCTACACCCTAGGCTCTGTATGAATAGTGGTTACTTGATGAACCAGATACAGTTATAATGGCTGCATGGCCACTTTGAGGAGCGTCAGTGCTCTGTGCTGTCACCCCAAGCAAGGGCAGCAGCAGGGAAGTCCTGCAACAGTCACCGTATTTGAGGGAGGATGACCTCGTCCCCATGTCCCCAGCGTCAGCTGACCATCTGACACATGGTAGGTTCTCAACACATGTCTGCTCAAAGGAACCAAACAGTGGCATCCCTGGGATTTGCAAACCACATCCCAGGTCCTGAGCAGGAGAGAGATGCCGAGCCTTATCTCAGCAAAAGCTCTGATTTCATCTGTAGAAGCTCTGCTTAGGTCACCTCCCAAAGGCTCTGCCTCCTAATACATCTCGGGTGGGTGTGGGGGCCCTTCAGTGTGAATGAAGTGGAGGTGGAGCACAATGGCAGACAGTACACCTTGGAATTGGAGAATGTGCAGACGGGAGCCGGAGCTGCACCGCCTGACACCAACCTAAACGGGACAAGGAACCCAAACACACGTGAAGTGTGCCGCCTGGTCCAGGATAGGTGTGTGAGGGGATGGGGCAGGAGGAAGAGGGAAAGACTGGTCAACAGGATCCTGAAGCTCAGTGCCTCTGTCAAAGCCTGACTGCCTCAGTGGTCTGCAGCTAGCCTGTTCCCGGAGCCATAGGTAGCCATCTTCCTTGCGGCTACAGGGGAGTCGGGAGAGTCCTCAGGTAACATCCAGCAGCCTCTTGCCAAGTGCTGTGCAATAGCAGTTGCTTTTAGCACACTTCCGTTTACGGGTTTCAAGAACTCTGTGTTCACTCCCGAACCCTGTGGAATTCCTGTCCTTTCACCCTGACTTGAGTTTGGCCCAGGCTGTCCAGGATCTGAAGTTCCAGGCACCAGGCTATGTTCTTTCCTCAGAGGCCCTCAGCAAGGCCAGATGATGGTTGGAAGCAGGACAGAGCCAACGTGCAATATTCCCTAGAAAAGTTGTCTTAGAATGGCACTGAAAAGTGTAAAAAGAAGTTTACAGAACAGCCTGTGTATATGGCAAGTGCTTAAAAACAGCTGGTAAAATGTCAGTCAAGCTGACAAGATGTAAACTTAAGAAGATGAGACCCCCATCCACTGTTGATGGTGAGGAGGGGAACAGGAAGATGATGGCATGAGTCTACACCCAGCACCCGCACACTGGAAGCTCAGAGGGGAGAAAGGGACATGGATACTCTGATGGCAAGTCACTCTAGTCCAGCGGTTCTCCACCCTCCTAATGCTGCGAACCTTTAACACTGGTTATGGTGTTATGGTGAACCCAACCATAAAATTATTTTTGCTGCTACTTCATAACTATAATCTTGCTACTGCTATGAATCATAATGTAAACATCTGATACACAGGGTGTCTGATATGGGACCCCCTCAAATTGGAGAACCCCTGCTCCAATTTTCTTATCACAGGTGGCTGAATTATCTGGATAAAATCAACAAGGAAAGCCAGCTTAGAGCGATACACCCGAGAGGCGTGCACAGGGCATCCCCAGGCAACAGCGGTGGACACGTCCCTCCTCCCCGCGCTGAGAGAAGTGTCTTCTGTTGGTCTGTGTAGACGCCGAGTGGCAACGGTGACGGACTCCAAAGGTGTATGTGCCGTTGACACAGCAGTGTAGTGAAGGGCCATTTCTTCCAGAGTTTTTACATAACAAGATTGTGGGACCAAAATGAATTTTCAGTAGGTGAGGAAGTGATCTGTGGCCACCCCACAGCATCCTGTACCCATTCAACAGTGAGCTGGACCTCCCCTTACCACAGAGGACCTCCCCAGGGCCTATGGGTAGGAAAGTGAGATACAGAGGGAAACACATTAAATGACATATTTACATGTGCAAAAAAAACCACACTGTAAATGTATCTGCTTTTTTGGGTGAGTATATGTGGTGTACACACGTGTACATAACTCGTCGCCTGTACTTGTTAGTCCATGGGCTGTGATCACAAAACCTCCATTATGATTATGTGTTCCCAAAAGGTCATGCTTTCAGCCCTACAAGGAAGCATGTGCAAATCTGATGTGTCAGGTGTAAGGGCTGGAGCTCAGAGAGCAGGGACAGATGCAGGCCCCACCTGGGATGGAGCTCTTGCAGGGGACCCCATGAAAGTAGAAGAGAGGAGCCTTAGGAGAAGGTGCTTAGCCCAGAGGGAGGGAGAGGGATGGAAAGCCAAGGTGGGGAGCCACATGGGGTGTGCCAGGCAGTCCTAGGAGAGGTTGGCGCCTGGATGCCTTTCTTCCTAGGCCCAGGCTGGGGTTTTACTCCATTTTTTTTCGCTTCTATTTATAGCTGAAACAGAAAAGGTAGGTTGACCATCCGGAACGAGTCTGTTAACTTGTACAAAGGTGTACAAGTTAAGTGACTTCGTGGCTCGGCACTCACTGGAACTTGAAGAGTTACTTTTGAGCAGGCACATCTGCTCTGCAAGCACGCATGTCCGTTTTCCTAGCCGATTGTGTCTGGATGATCTGGCTATTGCCCAGGAAGGGATTCACAGGGGATTTCCTCTGAAAAGTAGGTGCAGGAGACTCTTCTGGAGCCTTCCCTGTACTCACTTCTTATCTGCTCTGGCCATATTGTGGCACTGTAGACATGAATTTCTAAAAAGCAGGTCCATAGATTAGAGTTTGCTATGTGCAGGACCTGTGATATTTGTTCTGGTCACTAGTCTTTGGTTGGGTGTTTTGTTTTGCTTAGTTTTTCTCTTGTCTATTTTAACTTCGGATTTTATTTTGCTGAGATATAATTTATACTGTTTATGGAAACCTTGTGTCTTCAACTGTGCCCAGTGCAGTTGCATAAGTGTTGGAGAAGCCTGTGAGAACTCTTGCTGAGGCAGGAAAACCGCAAGACCCACGGTGAAAGAAACATTTGGGGCAATTATATATTTACTTATTTAGCATCTTACTGATGATCACAGTTCCAAAAGATGTCTTTCATTGCAAGCCAGTGTTGACCCTACCTTGAGAACATTCTGAGGAAGGGCACAGTGGGCTCACTTTGTAGATGGGCAAGTCGGAGCTCACAAGATGGCACCCAGCCTAGTGCTGAGGGAGCATCAGAGTAGGCTTTAATTTTGACTGCAACATCTTCTATGGAGGACACAGCATCTGATCTCAGCGACCTGGAACAGGGTGTCTGCCCTGAGGGCAGTGACTGAAATACAGAGCTCAAGACACTGACAGTTTCTGCCCAGCTATGTACTCGAGGAAATT